AAGCAAAGGGTCACATGTTCATTTCAATCAGTGACCTTGTTTGACCTTTTGAAGGTCATGGTGACCAGAATAATACAGGACTGCTCTGAGTTTTGCGTTTGAATAAGCCAGAAAGATTACGCTGGGCAGCATGTTTCTAAAAACAAAATGTTGACCCGGGTCATTTTAGGTCAATTACTATTCTGACGTCTAAGAAGTCCATGGAACATGCACAACGCGGTTCCCACTGTCAAGAAATTCGAAATGAGCACCAGAAACTATCCCATACAGCAAGCCCAGAGTAACAAAACAGGTTGTTTTGACTGTGGTCTGACCTTTATATTTGACCTTTGGTCAACGTAATTTGCTCATTAAATATTCGTGTTGCCAAAGAAAGCATCTCAGAGATGTATGGTTTCGTCAAACACTCCGTTGTTGCATCAGATTGGACGATTCCCTAGAAGTTGACTTCGCTGAAACCATAGCCTGACATAGATCTGCCATACCTGCCATAGATCAGCGAAGTTATAAAGCACATCTCATTTTTATGCCAAGTGATCTGCTATTCAATTGTCTACAGTTATCAACACATGGCGCAGCTGCGCCGCGCTGTTCGAAAACCGTTATGGAAAAATCTTCGGGGGGCGAGTCAATTTGACCCTCCACCCGAGCGCTTGTTAAAGTCAATAAACTGCAGAAATGAGGCGTTTAACGACCGCATGGAATAAATCGCCGGTGACATTTTTTAAACTCGATCACATTTTATTAATTCTCGAGCATCCTAAGGTTTACAGTTCTACTTGTTTTGAATTCGAACAACCACACAACGATATATGACGACATGCACGCCGCCCCGGGTCGCGACGTCACCTCCCGCCGCGGGCGCCGCCCCGCGAGCCATCGCGGTAACCACCGCAGAGCAACATACGCCGTCCGCCGGTCGCGCGGGCGCGCGAGCCGGCCAACTATAGACTTCGCTAGGCGGCAGGGCGGGATAGTCAGCCACAGCCACAGCCGGCAGCCCGAGCACCGGTGTCCTTAATCTGCCACTTCGCCGGGCGGCAGGGCGGGATAGTCAGCCACAGCCACAGCCGGCAGCCCGAGCACCGGTGTCCTTAATCTGCCACTTCGCCGGGCGGCAGGGCGGGATAAAGGGAGGCAGGGCGGGATAGTCAGCCACAGCCACAGCCGGCAGCCCGAGCACCGGTGTCCTTAATCTGCCACTTCGCTAGGCGGCAGGGCGGGATAGTCAGCCACAGCCACAGCCGGCAGCCCGAGCACCGGTGTCCTTAATTTGCCATGGCTTAGTAGGCTCTTTCTAAACCGATAGAACTCAGAAGCTTTTTCATTATGTTTTATATCTGCGTTCTACAGACATTGAGGGCATCGCGAAGGTAGATTGTAGATCGTAATGCTTGATCAATATTTGAGGATGAAAATTTTGATCGTAGATCGAGTGGTCAAATATGTGTATTGACATCGCCAAGCCATGTTTGTCTGGAAATGTTTAACATACAGTCAGAATCGATTAGTGATGCAATGTATATAACGTGGTTTTAACATGCGCGCTCGCCGATCTAAGCAGTAAAAACCCTGGCATCAGGCGTTGCAGTCTCCATAGTGCGCGCAGTGTTAGCTCAGTGGTTAATTTTTTGTTATGGCCCACCGGTGGACGGAAATGATAAGGGTTCTGAAATTTTTAAACGCTTGAATTGTGTAGTAAACACTTCAAACACTTAAACGGTTGGTTATTTATAAAACTTATATGAACATAGTTGAACAAAACACTTATGTGACATAATTTTGAGCATGCGCACTCGCAAACTTCAGTTTAGAACCTCGACGCCAGGCGCCGCAGTCTCAAAAGGCCGCGCAGCGTCGGTTCAACAGTTAATGCTGAGCCGTGGCCAACGGGTGGACGTAAATGATGACGCTTCGGGAGGAAGTACTTTTGAACGCTTCAGGACATCAAATCTTACATCTACGGGGCAGTCTGGGCGCATTTCCACGTGTACGATTTTTAGACTGATGATCAGAGCAGATTGGCCCTTAAAGCACCGCGAAGTGGTGCTGGAATCTGGTGGTGGAACTGGAAGTGTAAAGGTAGATTCTCTACTTTTCATGTTTCCTTAACAACTAATCTGTCCATAAGACAGTTAAGACGGCGCCAGCCGTCTGGTGGCGCTTGTAGTGGCCGACGCCGTTCCGTTTACGGAACCTGCAACCCATACCATCGTTGCCCCTGCTCTCGGGGTTGTGGGCGGGCATGTTCAAACCTTTTGATGCGCTTTTTCATTAATCTGTTCTGAAAACATGAATGTTCTTGGGCAAACATGGGATGACCTTGTTTGTTTTTTAATCCATTTTGACCTACTCTGTGAGATACAATAATGATGAGACTTCACACTTCATACTTCATACTACAATAATGAGACCTCCACTCCACTCAACAATAATGAGGCCCCTTTTTTCCTTCCAGGCAAGGGGCCCCTTGAGAAGAGCATCAAAGGCACATTGCCGGCTCCGGTCAAGAGCTGAAGGGCCACTCCGTTCCATCGCAAAGCGTCTTCTGGGTGTCATTCTAGCGGCACGGGGCGGGATCTCCTGGTCGATCCGGAGGCCATTGGGAGGATATATCATATCACATTGCTACCCTCCCTGACATGGGGGCCTTAACCGCGCAGTTGGCCCCGGATCAGCACAAGAATTCTCATTGACGCAACAACATCCCTGATCGCCAAAGGTGGTCCAATAATTGCCACACAAGCTTTAGATCCGTGCTTGTTTGTTTTCTTCAGAGACATTGAGGAATCCCTGAACGTATATTGTAGATGAAATGGGGTCCTAAGCTTGGAGTAACATGGCTTATCCATGTTCGTCTTAACATGTTCAAGATTCAGTCAGAAGTGGCTACTGACAAAAAACTATGTAATGTGGTTTTGAACATACGCGCACGCAAGTCACAGCAACAACAGCCTGAACGCCCGGCATTGCAGTCTCCATGAGCCGCGTGGCGCCGGCCTGCGGCTGTGACATTGAGCGATGGTTAATGAGCGAACGAAAAAGATGACGCATCTTGGGGAAGATGGCTGGTGAACTGGGCAAATCGGTATGTAAGTTTAAATCTGGTGCGAACTTAAGCTAAACACAACCTTAATCTGATAAATGGGGGGGGGGGGGCAGTTAACACTACTGCCCCCCCCCCCACCTTGAAAAGAGGAGCCATGGCTCCTCTGGCTCCCCTGTTCCTTCGCCCATGATTCGTACAGTCCAAGGATTGCTCTCGGCAAATCCTTTCTATCACTGAGGATGCTCTTTGTACAGATTAATAGTTACAGCAATACGGCAGAAATTTTACCTTTACTCTTACAGCTCCACAACCAGGTTCCAGCACCACTCCGCGGTACTGTATACCAATACGTTATTGTCACCAACCTAAGAACCACACGGGTGATGTATACCCTGAAATGTCTCTAAAACTACAATGTGGTGTCCAAAAGCATTCAAAGGTACTTCTTTCAGATGCCTCACTTTCTTCGTCCACCTGCTGGCCACAGCCAAGTGTTGGCCGCAAAACCAACGCCAAGAGGCCTCGGGAGACTGCAACGCCTGGCGCCGAGTTTTATGTTTCAAGATATGCGAGCGTGCATGCTTAAAACTACGTTACATAACTTGTACCACTTATCAGTTCTGACTGAATGTTGAAGATATTCAGACCAACGCACCCTGGCCATGTTAGTACCAACTGTTGACCCGATTTGACCTACAATCTAAATTTGCGGAATCTTGCTATTTCTGAACGACCAAATACAAATTCTGAAAATTTTCTGAGTTCTGTCGGTCTAAAAGGAGTCCACAGGGCTATTGTAAAACGAAGAGCGTCGGTGATTAATGTCATGCAGGTATTTAACGCATGATTTTGTCAATTCATTTAATAAAAACTTACGGCAGAATTGATCTCGTGATAGCGTCTGGCTTATATTCCAGTTGCAGAAGGTATAAAAATGCATAAAATATATTTTTTGTCATATATATATATATATATATATGTATATATATATATATATATATATATATATATATATATATATATATATATATATGTATATATATATATATTATAAAACATGTCCACGACAGCAAACTGGTCATACTCAGCGATTTGGGGGCTTTTACTATCAGGGGGTCCTTTGTCAACCTTGTGCCCCTCCTACCAAAGCTCTGGCTGCGCCCCTGATAGCATGATGCTAATGAAATGCTTGCTGGCCGTTATTTTGTCAGCCACCTGGCCGGCTGCCCCACACTGACTGCGTCCCGGTCAGCACGCTCGCGCTGTTGACCGGGATGTCCTGGTCTTCGGCCGTGTCTGTGGTGACCTGCCCCTGAACCGCCTGGCCGGCTGCCTCACACTGCCGGTGTCCTGGTCAGCAGGCTCGCGCTGGTGGTCGGCCGTGGCTGTGGTGACCTGCTCTGAGCTTCCTGACCGGCTGCCTCACACTGCCGGTGTCCTGGTCAGCAGGCTCGCGCTGGTGGCCGGGACGTCCTGGTGGTCGGCCGTGGCTGTGGTGACCTGCCCCTGAACCGCCTGGCCGGCTGTCTCACACTAACGGCGTTCCGGTCGGCAGGCTCGTGCCGGTGGTCCGCGGTGGCTGCGCTGACAGTGTTCCCGGTGCTGGACTCGGAGCCGGCGCCGGCCTGGAAGGGCCCGCTGGCGCCGGACGCCGGCGCGCCGGCCGGGCCGCCGTTCGGCCTGGCCGGGCCCGGCACGCCTCACTCGCAGCACAGTTTCACGCCGCCGGCCGGGCCCGGTCCGCCCGGCCCGCCGGCGCCGTTCGTGCCGTCGCCGGCGCCGTACGCGGCTCCGGCCGGCCCGCCGGTGGCGCCGCCGCCCGGCCTCCATCCGCACTTCAACGGCCTGGCCGGCGCGCCGGGCGCGGGCGGCGCGCAGAGCGGAGCACCGGCCTTCTCGCCGATGCCGCCCTTCAGCGGCGGCCCGCACGGGCCTCCGGCGCCGCCCGGGCCGCACGGGCCGCCCGTCGGCTTCTCCGGGCCGTTTGCGCCTCACGCGGGCCCGCCGTTCGGCCCGCAGCACCTGGGCGGGCCCATGCACGGTCCCGGCCACATGGGACCGGCACACCTGGGACCCGGCCACATGGGACCGCTGCCGATGGGACCCGACCACCGCCTCGAGCACGGGTGAGTAAGACACGGCAGCGGCCACGCTATAGGTGCTTGGCTACCCGGTCTAGTTTTCACATCTGATGAAAAGAGTGGAATTAGCATTGGTGTCCACATATATACTTAGGAGACCAGTATCTGTCTGACTAACATAACAATGGCATGGGACAAGTTAAAATAGATAGATTAAGGCATCTGCTACATCATCGCATAGTAGTTTTGTGCACGCACATAGACTAAGCACCACCTCAGGTTGAGTCACGTCAAAGGAACTGGGAGACGGTGCTTCTTTCTAAACAAGCTTGAATGCGCCTGCTTCCTTTGGCTGAGTTGTGTGATGTGGAGGGTGTATGGGTTCGCACCCGCATGACCTATAAAGGACATCAGCCACGCATCAGCAGGTGTTATAGGGCATGTGCTTCCCTCGTGTCAACCAGGTCAAGCGGTCAAATACCACTTCGGCCTGAATACGAAGTAGGATGCATGTTTTAGGTCCGTTGCTGTGATCAGTCCATTCAACATGCCTACTATGTGACCTCTTCTGTGTGTGGTTACTCAGTTGAACACGCAGTCGGTACACCCAAGCCCCAGGATGACCTGACGACGGGGTCTGTCGCGAGGCTACATGGCGCACAGCGTGGGTACGCACCAGCTGCAGGCCTCATTCAATAACGTTCACGCGTAAGGCTCCGCTGGGTGTCTGTCTCAGGGACAAACAAAGCCTGGGGATTAACCACTCAAAGTCTTCGACAGCACAGAAAGGTCGAACGTTTTGACAATAGTTAACACAACAAAAAAACTTAACGTATAATACAACGTAAGCATGATGCCAAATGACCAGCAACGTTATCTTGGCTGTCATCAGGACTGCGGCTGGTGCAGCGGCGTCTACATTTTTTGTTCACTGCGCCGGGTTTACATTGGCGTTTAGCTACTGTACTTGCCTGGATGTGGCAGTGGGTGCCGTACATGTCGTACTCCCCAATCCACACACAGCGGCGTCAGCGCGTACCCTCGCCACGTCGATTGCATACAAAACAAATTAAGCTGATGGCGTTTTGTGAACTCTGAAACCAACCTAGCGTTGTGGTCTTCTTTATAATTAAAAGAACACGCAGCTCCCGCTATTACCTTTGTTGTTACTCTGTTGCTGTGACCGTGTTTATATATTGCTACACTGTGGGGCTGATGCGTGCCGCGAAGTGTTTGGCCTTCCAGGAAACAGTTCGCAACGGCATGCGCCACGTTCCCATAAAGAGCGCATGTCTCCGCCACGTTTATAAGCCATGCGCAGTGCAGCCTTTCTATGGTTCAGTTGGTATACGTGTGAAACCCCCACTACGTTACCTCCAAACGACGTCGTATTCTTGAGAATTTAATATCATTTAACTGGCCTGGCACGTTTTCATGTTCCCGGAGCACCCAGAAAGAAATACATCAAACGTGATTACTTTCATGTGACCTTTCACGCGACCTACTTTCACGTGTCTTTGTGTGCGAATGCTGACAGATTCACGCCAACCGCAGCAATGAGTTGCGCTCCGGCTGCTTGCAAGATGTCACAACAGCCGAGCGAGCGCGGGCCTCTCGTGCTGACGCTGTTTGTCGTCCGTCTGTCCGTGTTTTGGCCCAGTGTGCGACGCGTACCTGCGACCTCAAGAAGCGAGGCCAAGCGGCTCACGTTTATCGAGACTAGAAGCATGTACTGTACAGGGCGCTGCAAATTTTGACATGCGCGGTCGCCTCTCGACCACAGCGTCCTAAGGCTATGGTTGGTGGCTGTGAAGCGGTGTAAACATGGTCACCAAAGGTATGTGGGTGGGCCGCGCATTCGAACGAAAAATCCTACCGGATATCTTAAAACATTTGTGAAAGGCTCACTTGCCATGGTGTTGGTTCATCTTATCTTATTTATGAATGCATCAACGGGTGGTACAAGTAACAACGAAATTTCGTGGCTTAAAACATAAATAAAACCAAATTTGCACAACGGAAAAGCCCATCAAAGCACATTGGTAGACAAAATTTCCAAATGCGCCATAAAACGCGCCCTCATGGGTCCACTTTCATAACAGCTTCTTTGTCACGAGTAACCCTTCCACAAAAAGCCCGTTCACGCCCGAAAAAAGCGTGTTTACACTATTCACGCCAGCACATGGCACATGAAGGCAATGAGTGACGAGACATGTGGACAGGCGCGATCCGTGAAAGCAGCATAGCAAACAAGATGGATTGTTTCTTCCGCTAAAAAAGCTAAGCAGAACAAGCTGTCATGCCAGGTGTGGCATGATTGTTCAATGCCAAAATCGAGATGATTGAGTCGATCTGGCAAAGACGGAGGTCTGCTAGCCACATGTTTGCAGGGATAATATGAGTTTAAACTTGAAACTCATACAACACCGCAAGCGATCCGAAATGTGCTCCGCAGCAACCCCGTCTAGCGACTTAGCATATTGCTGAGCCTGCATAGGAGGATACAGGGTGAGTTTTGCAAACTGCTTGTCCAATCGAAAGCATTGCCGCCCATTCCAGAGTATAGGGTTAAAACGGGAGTATATGAATGCTTCAGATACAGTGCTGGAATAACCAAATAAAGTAACGCCTACAATTAAGCGGGCGAAGTTTGTCTGGTGCATCAGTGTGTCAAGAATGCAACGATTGCAGGAATGTCGGGTTGCGCTGCCCGCAAAAGTAACAAACCTAAGGGAACAGCGGAATGTTAAGGTCAGCATCAAAAGATAGTCAATATTTGCAGGTGAGTGAACTCGCAAGACCCGCGCTTCGACATTTGGCTATGTCTTGCCTGAATGTTCATGTTATTTTATGCATAGGCGGAAACAAGGGAGTGAGAAAGTAGGTGACATGTCATAGTATAGAGGCACACTGAAATCCTGTCTAGGGCCGGCATGGCTTCGAAATCATTAGACAGTCGGCTAAACTGTCGGCAACCACGCCTCAACCGTATAAGACAATTACGCCGTGTTCGCACTGCTCCTTTGGCATGCACTGTGGCTACTCCAGCCGTCACCACGCCGCGTCACCCGAACATCGAGCTGACGCGCGACCGCTATAGTGATGAACGATCGCATGATGCAGCATAGCTCTGGAACGTCCAACTGTTTGAAATGGCGAACCAGTAGCCCCAATACCCGTTTCTACAATGGTGTCAATTTGGGGTGCAGACGCTAGTTTGCCTATTCTTTGCGAAATCACGCCGATCTCGAATGGCAGAAAAATTGGTCGGAGCCCAGATTTTTAAGAAGTGCGGTGCACCTAAAGGCTGGTTTGTAAATGTCTCACAACTGTGGACGTACTCTTGAAAGAGCCCCGCATCAACCGAGCAGGTAACCGGTAGCCTTCGACGGAATTTTTATCAACAAGTCAGGCGCTGAGGCCGGATTTCAGTCGATTTACCGTTAACATGTGCATGTACATTGTGAAGAGCATCGGGTACACCAGGCGACCCACAGAGATGCCAGGAACAAGCGGACACCAATCGGAACCTTTCCATCTGCGAACTCCCTATGTTCCTTGCCACAAAAACACAGAGTACCAAGCATCAAGTGGGCAAGGTCCGTGGTATACGACGGAATTCGTGTTTACCAGCGTCGCGTGCTGACGTTGTGAAGTGAGGTTCGCTTTGAAATAACATCGCGTAATTTCACTTTTTGTCCATATTGCATACCCCAACATTTCTTCCCTGGATTGCAACAAGGACAATGTCTGCTAGAATGAAACGAAGGGAATGCTACCTGAGACCAAAACAGCTGTCAGTTCTCTGCGATGTACAGCAGACAGCCAACCAAAGAGCAAAACATATGCGGCACCTCCCGAACAACAGGGTCATAGCAACGTCCAACACCCAAAATGGCTCAAGCGCGCACTTGAATACGCACGTCCAAACGAGCATTAGCAGACGCATTTGTCCCAAGCGACTCACCGACGGAGCAATGCTCGCACCTGCTCCCAGTCTACATACAACCATGAGAAAGAGAGAGAGCCAGCCTGCAGCCGAGGGAGAGGACGAAGCTAGCTAGGACATGGCCGAGCCAAGTTCCGAACAAGACAACGGTGATAACTGTAGCACCGCCCGGCCTGCAGGACATAGGTGTTAGTCCGGTCGCGAGTAATAGCAAGTCAGTTGTGGAGGGAGGACCGCCGCGGGCGAAATAGCTGCATTCGGCATCGCCTGGGCATTCCGTGCCCGCCTCCCAAGGCCCTGTTGGCGTACCCAGGACCACCCGGCAGTGCACACAAGACGGGGCTAAGAGCGAAAACGGGTCAAGAGCACGATAATCCTCGCCTGAGCTCCAATGAGTTGGAGTGCGCTTAACGAAACCAGGCGTCTCTCGAGGACAGGTTCTCCCGGGTTTCCCCGGAGACGCCATTCCAAACACATCCTCCGGAGCTCATCCCGAGCTACTTCCAGTGGACGGAGGTAACGAATCAAGTATTCGGCAACTTGCCGCGCACGTCGTCACCATGTAACGTCGCACGTCGTCACCATGTAACGTCGCACGTCGTCACCATGTAACGTCGCACGTCGTCACCATGTAACGTCGCACGTCATCACCATGTAACGTCGCACGTCGTCACCATGTAACGTCGCACGTCGTCACCATGCGTGTCACGTCGTCACCAGGTGTGAGGGTTGGACGACTGAACACTTGCGGTCTGTCCCCCTGTCAGGCATGTTTCAGCCATGCTCTCCTTCCGTTCCCCTTCCTGTTGCATTGGTCCCGACCCGGGCTCGGTGTGGACAGCTGTATGTTGGTCCGGATAAATATCCAAATGGGGTGTCCCCGACCTGGGGGATGGGCCGGTGCCAGGCACCGTGCAAGCGGCATTACAGAGGGAGGAGAGGGCGGCAATGACCTTACGCCATAATATAAGTGACCTGTTTGTCGTTGGCCACTTGCAGGCTGGCAGATGAGCGAAGATCAGAAGAAGACTTATGGGTACGAATTGTAGGCGTTTGCTGTCATCGAGTGGCTAGAGAGGGGAGAGTGGGGAAGATG